ATCGCCGGATCGGCTTTCACCGTGGACGAAGCGGAGTCCAGCCCGGGGTCGTTACATGTGGTTGCCGCAAGCCCGCCGGACACTCCTTAGTCGAATCCGCCGGTCGCGCCGTTCTCAAGCCCGCCGGCCGCCGCTCACTCAAGCCGGCCTCCGAACTCTAGCTCACTAAAGAGGAGAAACAATAATGTACAGTATGTGGAAAATAATGTGTTTTTTGAACCTTAAACCGCATAAACACATTTCATTACACCAAATACACAAAATAACCTTTTTAGCAACATCATATGACCCCTTTAAGGGAAACGGTGCCATCAAACCACTTATTACACAACATTTCACCACATAGATAATTAAGGCAATAAAAGATTTAAGACGAAAATGTTTTAAAATCTTACCAGTTTGTTAGTTATCTTATAATCCATTACAGCCTACAATAGTAGCAAAATTGCAGCAGCTGCGTTTGTGTGAAACGAGAGAGAGAGTCCAGGATGACGAGTTTTAATATTTTATTAGCTAAACAAACGCAAAGCTTCCACCAAGAAAAAACAATTCCTAGCAAGAGTACAGCGCCAACTTCAGTTTCCTGGATCATGAGCCTGTGTTATCAACTTTTACCGATTGTTATCTAGGGATAACATACCTCGGAATGTCGCGACTGACCAATGAGAATCAAGTATTCCACAGAGCCGTGTAATAATATAGTAATAATAACACTATTGTACTCTAAAATTAAAAAAAATATATTTTACCAAACAACATAATTTCTTAATTTCATATATAATATCTTGATTTCTTTGCTTTCAAATGTTAAACCATAGAGCTTTTATTTTGGCTTAAAACCACAGGTTTTGCTTTGTTTGTCAACTCAAAATCACGATTCTCATTTCATTGTTTGTTAATCCTTGCAGACCTAATCTGCAAGGATTAATCATTAATCATTTTTCTATTATTCAATCAAAAAACGAGCAAATGTCTTCATTTATTTACCTTAATAATATAATACACTGAATGATGCATCATTACAATGTACATGCTGAATTTATTTTAAATATGTAAGTAGAAAATGCACACTTTCCTTACGGGTGACTTCTTTCCCCAGTTTACCCTATAGCCTACCGTTTCCCACAAATTACGCGATTATAAACAGCTCTGTTTGTCTAGACAATTAATGTGTCTTTGTCCCACAGGCACCCTAGACAGCTCCAGAAATCAGACTCATTTCCATCAGGAGGCTGTGCTGTTGTTTGGAGTGTTTGATGAGAACAAGAGCTGGTACAGCACTGGCAAGACAAGGCAAGTTTCTGAAACTAAGGTCTGTCTCCAGAATCACACCAAGATTCCTGACTTGATTTTTAGTTCTTAGACCCCTAGAGTCAAGGTATGCCTTGACTGGGGGCCCTGAACGGGCACACAATGTGAAATACACTATAAATGGCTACACAAATGGCTCTGTACCAGGTTGGTTTGATATTTTTCACACATAACATATAATTTCTGCAAATCTACTTACGTGTAAAACTCCTCCTTGTCGTCCTCAAGATCTGGACATTTGTGCCCACTCCAAAGTCAGCTGGCACCTGCTGGGAATGAGCTCTGAGCCAGAGCTCTTCTCTGTACACTTCAATGTGTAAGTCCTTCTGCATGATGGACACAAAACCTCATCTGTTGGCATCATTAGTGGAACTGCCACTAGTGCCAGTATGACTGGTGTCCACCCCGGCTGCTGGCTTATTTCCTCTCACATTAGCAGGCACTTGGAAAGTAAGACCTGCCAGGGAAACCACAAAATTTCATGAATTATTAATTTAAAACATCAACCTATGTAGGCTTTATTCATAGCTTTGTAGAAACACTATTAATGCTGACAGTTTGTACTTTATAAAAGTGATGTTGATGTCATATTTGCAGCTGGTTTGTATGGATATCTAAATATCAAGACGTGTGATGAGTACACAGCACCAAATAGATGGCTTACCATCCAACAGAAACAAGAAAGCCAAGACTGGACTTACTATATAGCAGCAGAAGATATCTAGGATTATGCTCCAAATATGCCTGAAAACATGGATGGGTATGTGCATCATGATTCACCAGTGAGATGTTTTCACAGATAAATTCTGAAACTAAGAGCATTTTTAATCTCAGTTTGTCTTCGCCTTTGAGAAACAGCACTTTGCAAAGCAATGAGTCTGAATCTTCGAATGCAACTTGGTCTGATTTCAGTCTCGGCCTTGAATCTGAAATAACAGAGAAAAGAACATCATCCACTAATGTTACAATGAAATCTCCCAGTGAAATTTTGAGAATCAGAGCTCTTTTCTTCAGACAGTACAGAGAACACGTCCTTTTCTCTTAGCCCTTTCAATAATGTTTCATCCATGAAGAACAACTCAGAAAGCGAAAGCGAAGAGGAAGTAGTCATCTATCTGAAGAACAATCACAGCGAGGCCATACTCACATCTCATCTCGAGCCAAAAGAAGAGCACTAGGGTTATGAAGGCAAACATGAACTGGTTCATATGGAAATCCCAGATCACATGAAAAAATACATCACAGACAAATCTGAAGCAAAATCAAATAAGCCAAAGATTGCCGAGAAAGGCATATGGCATGAAAATGAAGAAAAGGAAAGAGTATAGGCCACAGCCACATTCTGATTTTTCTCCAAGAGGTATTCCTCCAAGAGTTTTAGGAGCTTCTGTGTTGACCCCAAGGGGAACCAGGCCTGTGTCTAGCGAGGACGACCTGATGGGGAAATCCATCATCATAGGAGTGCCAAGATGTGATTTCAATGATTATGAGTTATATGTTCCAAAACAAGAGCAGGGTGAAGATTTTGAATATGAATATGTAGAGTACAAAGACCCTTATAGCAAACAAGCAAATGTTCAAAGCACAGTGCTTAATATAACATCTCAGCATTTCTTAAAACTTGCTGGAGACAAGGATACCAGAACTTATTTCATCTCAGTTGAAGAGGAAGAATGGGATTATGCTGGTTATGGGCAGAGGTACTGTTGGCATCATGTATTTCAAATAATCAAAATGTTGCATTTCTAGAAACAAAAAGCATGAATATATGAATAACTCAGTGTAACTCATTTGTGAAATCACTGTTTTATGTTTGCAAAGGAGGCTTGATATATCATCTCAAAATGAGAGGCCTACAGCTTTCAAAAAAGCGGTGTTCAGAAAGTACCCTGACAGCACCTTTAATATCCGAGACATCAGAGGGGAAATGGATGAACGCCTGGGAATTCTGGGTCCGGTCATTAAAGCTGAAGTTGATCAGACTGTTATGGTACACCACTGAATATGTGAACATACTTGTGCACAAATGAAAATTAGAATCAAATCATATGAAAAAAAAACACAAACAAATACATTCCTGTTTTTCGTGCTAGGTATTTTTCAGGAACCTTGCCAGCCGCCCGTACTCTTTGCATGCAAATGGAGTAAAGTACTTAAAGCAAATGGAAGGCCTGAGTTATGATGATCAATCACCGGACTGGTACAAACAGGATGATGCCGTACAACCCAACAGCACCTTTATTTACATGTGGACTATAAATTCGAAATCTGGACCTCAAAATAATGAATCTGACTGTCGAACGTGGACCTAGTACTCTGCAGTGAATCCTATAAGTATGAATGTTCCTTCATATTCCACTTAAATTAAGACTGCTCCACAAGGGCTGTCCATGTTACAAATGTACTGTAAGTTCATTTAAATACAAATGAGTGTCAAATAACTATTATTAATTTTCACTTACAATTGAATTACTTTCTTGCATAGGAGAGAGATATAAACTCTGGGCTGATTGGACCGCTTCTGGTGTGCAGGAAGGGTACACTGGATAAAAAGCCTCTGGACAGAAGAGAGTTCATCCTGCTTTTTATGACGTTTGATGAGAATAAGAGCTGGTACTACGAGGAGAATCGGAAGAGGATTGAAAGGAAAAACAAAACAGCAGTCATGGATCCAAATTTTCAAAATAATTTAAAGTTTGACAGTAAGAAAACTATTTATCTTCAGCTTTTTTCAGCTCCATTATTTTCATTATAATGGAGTATTACAGTCATTATCATTGGATTAAATCTAAATAAATTGGAGCAAGTATTGAGACCATTAAAAATATTGAATTATATAAACTTGTCAAATATTTTGAATAAATTTGTATTTGTTACATTTGTTTTGTCAGCTATCAATGGTATTATCTACAGTCTCAAAGGACTACGAATGTACACAAATCAGCTAGCGAAGTGGCATCTGATCAACATGGGCTGTCCTAAAGACCTCCACAGTGTCCATTTCCATGGTCAAACGTTCATAAATAAGGAGTTAAAGGACCACCGTCAGGGTATTTACCCACTTTTATCAGGTGTGTAGTGGTGTTATAAGATACCTACTTACCTAGATGATCTAGAAAGGCCATTCACACTCAGATCCCATCATTTAGGTGGATTTGCCACAATGGAAATGTTGCCTTCAAAGCCTGGTCTCTGGCAGCTGGAGTCTGAAGTTGGACTCTCACAGCAGAGGGGAATGCAGACGTTATTCCTTGTGTTAGATAACGGTATCACATAGAGTAATTTATCATGCTGATCGATCTTATTACAGGAAAACAACTGATTCTGTCAGGTCTTAAAATCTTACCTGGTCTATTTTGCAGTCTGTGATCATCCTCTTGGTCTCATCTCTGGAACTGTGAAAGATGAACACATTGCAGCATCTGACTCTAGAGGTAGGATTTGAAAGCATAGCTTTTTATGTAGCATAGTTGGGGTCACATTATTAACACATTTAACTCTGTTTTTAAGGACAATGGAATCCTCATTTGGCCAGACTACATAATACAGGGAAATACAATGCATGGAGTACAGAAAAGACAGGACAGCACATTCAGGTAACCACTCATAATAGTGTGCAGACAATTAGCCCATAAATAAAGAAATGCTAATGACTATTTACTTGAGGAGGCTGTATCCTGTATTCCAGGTGGACTTCCAGAGACTGGTAGTGATTAGTAAAGTTGCCACACAGGGAGCTAAGCAATTCTTAACACATCATTTTGTGCTGAACTACACCATTTCCTACAGCACTGACAAAAAGAAAAAAGTGGACCTTCTAAAAGGGAGACAGTGATACTGTCAGAAAGGCAAGTGACTATTTCTGTGTAGTTGTAAATTTAATGTACAGCATAAGGGTGTTAAAGGTTCTCAAACAGGGGGACTCAGCAAACTTCCAAGGTTGTCTCAAGACATTTAAATGAGAAAACACAAGCTAAAACAACTAAAAATCCAGATATTATTTTAATTTACCTCCTCAACAGCTGTTTGCTTCCTCTGAGGAACCAGGGTTCCCACAGTCTTGTAAAATCTTGATTTCCTATATAATGTAATGTAGTTCAAGACCTTGTAAAAAGTAATGTAAATTCAGGTAATGAATATACAGTACATTATATTATTTATGCCTCTAAAAATGTTTTTGGGGTACAAATTTATAAACAAGTAAAAAATATTTTCAAAAATCTGTATCCTTAATCCTTATTCAGTAAAACATTCACCTACAAAAATTCTGGGATTCTAAAATGTTATTATTTTAATTTTTATTATTATTATTTTAGTTTTATTTACAGAAACTAGAAGTACCCATTGATTAAAATAAGTTTTGAATAAAAAACTAGGGCTAGGGGGCATTTGAAGACTGGTGTGGACTTTGAGGGGCCTTATAGTCGGAAAGGTTGAGAAACACTGGACAGTCTTTGGCCTTTGAACCGCATTTATAAGGCACTGTGTCAAATTAATCATTTAAACACACCTCAAGACCAACAGTATTTTTCATTCTGCTACCTCTAACTTTTCACAAAACAAAATCAAAACGTGTTCTAACTGAACAGCCTATAAGATCTGCAAGAAAAATGTGTTTTTCAATGCCCCACAGACTTTTGAAGGAAACAGCGAAGCTTATGACACAAAGGAGAATATATTTTTCCCACCTCTGATTGGACGATATGTGAGGCTGCATCCTTTACATTCTTACAACTACCCAACTGTCCGTTTGGAGTACTGCGGTTGTGAGCTTGACGGTATGGACAAAAATGTAACAAATTTTGTTTTCTCATATTGTCTTATAAGACCCAATAAAGTTCAGCTCCATTGTATTAAACCTCTTCGTTGTGCTGGCAGGTTGCTCTGTGCCATTGGGAATGGAAAGTGGCCTCATTAAAGATGCTCAAATCACTGCCAGTTCTTTGGCCTTCAGTTGGTACCCTGGACAGTGGCATCCTTGGTATGCACGCTTAAATAAACATGGGACCATCAATGCATGGAAAGCCAAGAAACCTTTAAAGGTATTTGCTACACTTCAAATCAACCTCAAGCCTCAATAAACTGTCTGCAATTTACAGAACAATGATATTCAGCCATGGATCCAGGTGGAACTCAAGGATAAAAAGAAGATAAGTAAGGGATAATCAACGGCTAGCCGTGCATTAAAGGATTTTAAATGCACGACGTGGAGGCAAAGAACCACCCGACGCGAAGCGGAGGTGCATTAACAGGTCAGCAGCGCATTAATATAAACGGTGATTAAACTGACTTGGAACTACCTGTGCATTAAATGGTTTTACTGCATACCTGCCAGCCAATCAGAATCCAGTAATCAGACAGATCATGGAATAACTGGGATTATAACACAGGGGGCCATGAGTTAGGCAATGAGATGTTAGGCAATGAGATGTTTGTGACAGCATATACTCTGGAGTACAGTGAAGATGGCAAGAGATGGACAAAGTACACAGATGATGAGAATTGTGATCAAAAGGTAAGCGGTCTCACTTTTTTGTGATTAGAACAAGTTTCTTGGAAAAAGACAGTTGAAAATCTGTGGGAATAAACAGTGTTTTGTGTTTTTAGGATGAAAGACACATCCTTAAAAATAAAAATGTATTTTATTTTCACAGACTTTAAGGCAACACAGATAACTATGGCCAAGTAAAGAACTACATCTACCCACCAATATTTTCCAGATTCATCCGAATTAGTCCAAAACAATGGCAGAAGTCCATCACTATGAGAGTTGAGCTGCTTGGTTGTGATTTCGAATAAAACACTGTGCTTTCACTGATATGACAACACATATTTTTGAATCTATATTTTATAATATAATATAATTTAATATAATATAATTTTTTTAATCTATATCTAAATAATGTAATTCAATATATCCGAAAATATGAGGATGGACGCAGAAAGTTTTAAATGTGTTCCTACAGTTCACAGCATGCTTACCCCACCTAGTGTTGAATTACTGTCTGCTGTACCCCTCCCCCCCAACACACACTGAATGCAAAATAATGCCTAGTATTTTAACTGCCGTATAAAAACACTTTCAAGAGTTTTCCCTTTTTCATAATCAGCCACAATATTTCAATCTATGTTCCAGAACATTATTAATTTTTATATTTTTTTAACCCAAATTTAGCAAATAATCATTTTGTTTAAATTGGTGTTAGTTATAGATTTTTACACAGTCTAGATAGAATTACTTAAAATTATTTAATGATAAGTTGTATTAACTTCACAATTCCTTTAATTTGCCCTTATTTTATTTACTTTTTTATGTATTTTCGATAACACGTTAGAATAGAGAACACATATTCACTATTAATTAAGAGCTCTCCCTCAATAAACTACTAATTTGCTGCTTATTAATAGTATGGTAGTTCTGACATTTAGGTATGGGTTAGATTACGGGGTCTAAAACATGGTCATGCAGAATAAGGCATTAATACGTGCTTTACAAGAACATAGATAGATAGATAGATAGATAGATAGATAGATAGATAGATAGATAGATTTTTTTGTTGTTTTAAGTATAACTAAATCGCACTGTTAGTTTTAACGTGTAGATATTTTTGGTGGAACACAGACACAAAAAACTCACCAAACGATTTTTGCAGTCTTTATAGATATTATTCTTCATGAGAAAATTGCAGAGCAGACTATGTAGGCTAGTCCGGTGAGAGTGAGACCCTCTGGACTGTCTGCAGTTGAGAGATGGAGGGAAGTTTTCAAGACGAGGGTTGTGACGTAGTGCCATTGTGACGTCAGCAACGCCTCTTTATTCACTGCCGACCGCAGCGGCCGCAACAAATGAACATCCCTGAATCATTTCATACTTTGTAACTGCGTTGAAACTTCGTGCATGCGCCTCCGTAAAGCATTTTTTGTTCCTCGAAAGCGTGAGAAAACCCAGCATCTTGCAGGAGATGAGAAAGTTTTTGGATTAAAGTTTGTGGCTGCGGACTAACAAAGCCAGCCAGCCAGCCAGCCGGAGAAAGTTACCAGTGCTCGGCTACAGCGGGATATCGCCTGGCCTGGGTACGTTATCCATGCATCTATCATTTAATTAGGATAAACTATGCATTTTGAATCTAAAGGGTCGGAAACACATTTTTGTGCAATGCAAAATGCCGCTGTTGTTGGAAAAATAGAGAAAGAATCTGTGTGCGCTTCGCTCTCTCCGTTGGCTGATCACATTGCTGTGCTGTAGTTGTTCATTGGACGTGCATTATGGTGAACGATTTATTGAAGAGGCATGACAGATGATCCATATGCAGTGGCCCCAAACGCATTTGGATACTTAAGCTGCACATGAACCATATGAAATTCATTGCATTAGATTTTAACTGCGCTGCACTAAGTTTTTCCTTGTGTGATATGTTTTTCCTGAAGTATGTGCTTATATATTTTTTTTTCTTATGTATTTATGTAATGCAGTGATATATCTACAAGTGTGGCTTAAGTGTCCAAATATTTGTGCTGATTTTTATTTATTTGTTTGTTATTGTTGTCGTCATCAGTTTTTTTTTTTTCAGATTTTATATAATGATCTTAAATCTCATTATTGTAAACTTAATATTGTCTACAGTAACCCTGCCAACCTGATGTAAAGCTTGCATATTTTGTGTGCATAGCTGTGAAACATGTTTAATTTACATCATGTGATTCTAAATTGGTAGAACAGTCTCTTCAGACTAGAGTTTTTCACAGCACAGCTCAGTTCTTAACAAACAGCGTATTGTAAGAATGTGCATAATCCAGATTTGTACAATGTATTGTACAAACAAAATCAGCTTGTTTTTTAATGCTTTACAGGACACCCTTGAACACCACACCAGATAATTTTTTCATCTTTTAGCATTCAGACGTTCCAGACGGCTTTGATCAGATGCTTTTTCTCGCATATCTTGTAGTTTGTCAACATGTCTGTCCAGACTTGGGTACCCAGCAGCCTCCCATAATGAACAGCTCTAAGAATGGGACGGTGGTGGCCAACTCCACTAACGGCCTGGACGACGACGGGCTCGTGGTCCTGGAGTCTGTCTCTATCATCATCATAGCCATATTGGCGTGTCTGGGGAATCTGGTCATTGTGGTGACGCTATATAAGAAGCCCTACTTACTGACACCCAGTAACAAGTTTGTCTTCAGCCTGACTTTGTCCAATTTGCTGCTGTCTGTCCTAACGCTGCCCTTCGTTGCGGCCAGCTCGGTGCGTCGGGATTGGATGTTTGGAGTGGTGTGGTGTAACTTCACAGCACTGCTCCATTTACTTGTCAGCTCATCCAGCATGCTTACACTTGGAGCCATTGCCATTGACAGGTCAGTCCTTATGTTATCATATCCTACAGTTTGAGTAATCCTTGTATAAAAGGGTCAATAGAAGTGTTCATGATAAAGAAAAAGAAAAAGTTAAATTTAATGAATCTAAAAAATGGCACGTGGTGTAACCAAGTAAAATGTAATAACATTTTTTTTGTAATTTTTTTTTTTTACAAATATCACAAATTATTCATTCATAATATAGTAATTAATAAGTATAGTTTATTTTAAGAAAGTCACACCACATTACATTTTACAGCCTGAACTAACCTTGCCATGTCCAAAAAAATGTGACAATGTTAAAATTATTAGATATTTTAAAAGATTAATTGACCTTGACAAGGTCATAAGGGATTGCAGGGGTCCACTCTGTGATATAATTTCCTGTTTTGTTTTGTTTTTTCTGCATTTTGGTTGGACCATATGAGTCTCAAGAAATAATAATAAATGATTATGCCACACTACTTAAAAAAATCAAACACAGAAATTCAATTCAGAAATGAACTTGAATTAGAGATTTTATAATACAACATGTGATTGTATATTGTACATTTTTTGTAAATTCAAGTATATTTACTTGTGAGTCAATCACATGGCACTAACTTTTTGTATCTATGAATTTCTTTAAAAATACATTAAAATGCAATTCATACATACAATGACTTTGAATGACCATGTTTTTAATTCAAAAACAATTCTTGTCAATTTTTATTTTTGACTGCTGTATTCAATGGTCATACTGTATTTCTTTAAGCCTGTAGTTCACCATGATATTTCAGTCCAGTCTTGCTTAAACAAATCCACTGTTTTTACGAACAAGATGCACACTGAAAAATATCAAACCTACTCAGCTGTATCAATACACAAACCTAGAAGCCACACTCTACTTTATTTCTGTCAGCTTGAGAGTCTTAAAGAAAGACCCCCTTGTCTTTCCATTAGCTAGTCATGTGTCTCTCATGAGGGAATGATTGAAGTGTATCCGTTTTATATCAATGTCTGTCTCATTCTAGGTACTATGCTGTTTTATATCCCATGATCTACCCCATGAAAATCACGGGAAACCGAGCTGTGCTCGCCATTGTTTACGTGTGGCTCCACTCCCTGGTCGGATGCCTGCCGCCGCTTTTCGGTTGGTCCGCGTTCGAGTTTGACCGCTTCAAGTGGACCTGCACAGTGGCTTGGCACAAGGAGATCAGCTATACTGCCTTCTGGGTTACGTGGTGCTGCCTTCTGCCACTGGCAGCCATGCTGGTCTGCTATGGCGTTATCTTCCGTGTGGCCCGCATCAAAGCTCGGAAGGTTTACTGTGGTAACGTGGTGGTGGCTCAGGAGGAGTCCAGTTCTCAGAAGAACGGCCGCAAGAACTCTAATACTTCCACATCTTCTAGTGGAAGCCGCAAGAGCCTGGTGTACTCTGGGAGCCAATGCAAGGCCTTCGTCACCATTCTGGTGGTGCTGGGGACGTTTCTGACCACTTGGGGTCCATATGTGGTAGTTATCAGCACTGAAGCACTGTGGGGTAAAGACAGTGTTTCTTCACAGATGGAGACGCTGGTCTCCTGGCTGTCCTTCACCAGTGCCGTGTGTCATCCGCTTATTTATGGGCTGTGGAACAAGACAGTACGTAAGGAGTTGTTGGGCATGTGCTTTGGCGACCGCTACTACAGAGAGTCTTTTGTTATACGGCACCGGACCTCTCGTCTCTTCAGCATCTCTAACCGGATAACGGGTAAGTCTACTGCTGCTGTTATTTGCATCCTGGGATTCTTCATAACCTAATGTTTGGATGAGAAGTCTGAGAGTCTTTTTTGTTTAACAGATTTGGGAATGTCTCCTCACCTGACGGCCATGTTAGTGGGCGGTGGGCAGCTCCTGGGCCGTGGCAGCAGCACTGGAGACACTGGCTTCAGCTACACCCAGGACTCAGGTAGACCTTCTGCTGTTTATTACACATTGGTCAAAAATAATTTAAAGGAATAGTTCATCCTAAAATTAATGTTCTGTCATCATTGTTCCAAATCTGATGACTTACTTTCTTCTGTGGAACAAAAAGGAGGTATTTTAGCAGAATGTCCTGGGTGCTCTTTCTCATACAATCAAAGTAAATTGGGACAGTTGATTGGGACTAGATACATTTTGTGTGAGGAACAGGCCGAAATTCATGTTGTTATTCACTGAAAATCTTCTCTTTCATTGTAGTTCTTGAATCTCATTCTCACTTCTGCATAAACTGATGTGTTGCATTCAGCTATAAGTCATACAACAAATATGGTTTGACATTACTGACCTTGCACCAGTTTGAATATATGGAAACTGAATCATATTTGAGAGCTGCAACAAACTGGAAGGCCTTCAGTGAATAACAATTTCAATAACTTAAGTCTGTTCCTCACACAAAATCAAATGGCTTTAGAAGACTCGTATAATGAATGAACGGTAAAAAAGTACTATGATACAGTAACGGTTCTTTTTTTTTTGGGATCTCAACATCATCTGTGCCTTTTAAGTTTTGTTGTATAGAAGAGAGCCGCACAAACGTTTTATCTAAATGAAAATCTCCTTTTTACTTTTCCTTGAAAAATATTAAAATGAATTTGGGTGAAGTTGAGTAAATGGAGGCAATTTATAATTTTTGAGTGAACTATGCCTTTAAAGGAATTTTTGGTCTTGTAATAATATATATATATATATATATATATATATAATTTTTTTAAATTATTTTTTTTTGCAGGGATGCACAATAATATACAAGTACCATATAGGATGATATTGGAGATTTATTTATCATTATTAGCTGTTATTGGATATTTAATTACACATGCTTGTTTCCTCTATTTTTACATTTAGATTTGCCATCATCTAATGCTTACCTAAGTTATTCTCTAAAAACCCTAATAATTTATTAACCGTTAAATGTAATTTTTAGCAAACCTCAATATAAATATCCATGCTTCATACTGTACATTATAATGTTGTGATGACTAAATTCACTTGTCGTGTTTAAAATGACTGATTTTAGTTTTTAGTGTTTTGATTTACATCGATAAATTTAAATAGAATTTTAATATAATTGTTTATCAGTATAGACCATGTGTGAAGAAGTGACCTTCTTCACCGCTGCAAGCGGCAGCACTGGCACTCATATATGTACACGCACACACATAGGCTATACAATCATTACTCACCCATCCTGTCCCAGTTATTCCGCTAACAGCATAGCGGGTGCACACGCTAGCTTGGTAGCACTCGGTCAGTCATCCACACTCCATCCTCTCCCTCAGCCATTATGCAGTCATGCCATCCGTATAAATCACACATAAACTTTGTCTACGGTTTTATGTTTTATTGTTTAATCATCTGTGTTACATGTTGCCATAGCCGGGTTACTAGACGCTGTGCTGGCGAACTAGAGGTTGCAGAGGGCGATCGCTTTTGACGTCATCGGCTGGCGTCGCGCCAGCGTGGCAGTCTAAGGACCCGGTGAAACCATGTTTGTTTGTGTTGTGGGGTACCCGAATGTTTCGATCTGTAAAGAGAAACAGATTGGTGACAACTAATATATGGTTGTTTTATATTACGGTTGCAAATGCGTGATTATCTGTTTTAATACATTACCGAGTTAAGTTATTGTATAAATCTTAAAGTGGATGATTAGATAATAACTGGTATAACTTACCGTTTAATGGTCGTGCCTGGAAAAGGGGCGGAGTCTGGTCTTTAAAACTTGGCGCCAGACTTCAGACGGGGCTTGTTAACCAAGTCGAGTAGACGTGCTACTGTGGTGCCGTGAGCTAAAACCCCTTTCTATATTAGTAGATGCAAGTGGAAAGTCTGTATATATTTATTATATCGTTGTTTAGTTTATTTTGGGTTATTTTGGTACTTTGTTTTTTTTTCCCCCATGGCATTTATATTTGTAGATATATTGGTTTGGACTGAGCACTTGTAAATATGGACTGTTGGATTATCGGTGCACGTGTAAATAAACCACCAGTTTACACTAAAGAAAATCTGCGGGTTAAGTCATATTTTTGTTTTGTTTTGTTTTTTTGGACATTAACAGGTCCCGCAGTAGACTGAGGATACCCATTCTGGGCCTATCAAAGTCTGCTGCATCACACCATGATTTTAATATTGCTGCATCCTTACCTCTTTGAGTACAACCAAACCGAATCAACCCCCACAGCTCTTAGCAGTCAGCAGAGGTGGTGTATTGGCTTGCAGACTGTTGTTATCAGGATGTGCCATTTGAGGAAACCCAGAGCCCATGAGTATCGCATAACAGACAGCACAGCACAGGCTCTCCCACAGTGTCCAGACTGGTGTGGGTGGGTGGTGTTGAGCAGTGTTAAAACTGATATTTGATTGAAAGATGCCTGCTGTGATTTACCCTCTAGCTACAGACGTCATGCTGTTGGACAGCTACAACTCAGAGCCCTCCCACTCGGCCCACTGTGCTGCCAATAAAAGAAGAAGTTCTGTCACATTCGAAGACCAAATGGATCAGATTCCTAAAGGTATCTAACATGTTCTTATTATACATCTGACTAATGCAAAAATGTCTTTGTTAGTTATCACCAGTACAAAACCAAGCAAATAGAAAGTGGCTCTAGAAATGTTTTTTTAACAGACGTCTCATGCTCAACAAGGCTGCATTTATTTGATAAAAAATACAGTAAAAACAGTAATTTTGTGTATTGCTACAATTTAAAATAACCGTTTTCTATTCTAAGATATGTTAAAATATAACTAAACCCTGTGATGGCAAAGCTGAATTTTTAGCAGCCTTTACTCCAGTCTTTAGTGTCACACGATCCTTCAGAAATAATTCTAATATACTGATTTGGCACTCAAGAAACATTTATTATCAATGTTGAAAAAATGGTTGCGCTTCTTAATTAAAAAAACACTAAATACACAAAATAATGTTCTTTTTAGCAGCAGCATATGACCCCTTTAAAGTCTTTAAACTGTCATGGCCATGTTAAGCCATTAAAATTGTCAATTTTTACATGATAGATGTAAGGAAATGTAGTTCAACAAGTTCATACTTGTTTATCTGTTTAGAACAGTAGTCCAACATTAATATTTGCAAGCTTGCATCTCAAATTTTTATACATAAGAAACTTCATAATTCTGCTTTTTCATCTTGCCTCACAAACCTCTGTTGTAAAGACACTATTATAAATGGCTTTTTCACAAACTAACAAAGGATTTTGTTAATCCTTAGCATGTCATACTCAGGGTTTTCCGCGGGTCCTTAAAAAGTCTTAAATTGTACAAGAAAGTCTTAATTATGATTTCAGGAGGTCTTACATTTTTAGGGACATAAAGACCAGAATTGCGATATGGCTTAATGTGAGATTAAACTTCAAAAGGCTATGATTTCATTGAATAAATATGAGCGCTGGGCATTTTAGAGTCAGGTGCTGCGCTGCTTTGTGTTCTGCTGTTACCGGGGAAACAGTTCTATTTTTGCCGTTCCGTAAGCGCCTCCTGTTGGCAGAGAATGAATGTGCATTTTCAATAAGCCAGTTTTCTTGCAATACAGTGGAAAGCTGCAGTTTCATTTTTAAGACCCTATCGTTTTTTTGTTTTTTTTTATACATTTTTTTTGTATGTATGCGGTACAAAATAGTGTTTATTAGTACATAAATAAATTTTAAATAATTTGAATACAAATACTAGTACACAAGTTGTCACAACATCCAGCAGCACAGTGAACTGTTTTTCACAGCTAAGGCTAAATTGAGATAGCTGACATCGCCTCACACACTCAGGTTCACGCCAGCTCTTGCATTAAAAATAAGATGGAAAGATAAAAAAAATGAATAGTTTCCATGGATCTAGTCTTTGCATCTGTTTGTTTGATGTTTGAATCAGGTCTCCTGTTGGAATAGGGTCCTATAGTAGAAATGCGGTCCTGAAACGGCAGTTTCCAGTATTGCAGGAACACAGTATTGGGGTTGTTTTTGTTCAGACCAATGTGAAAATCGACCCATGTTTTTACCCTGCAAACACGCAGAGCTGTAAATGTGAACTGGTGGATCGATAAGAAGATAATGCATTATAAAAATCGAAACAGTAAAATTTATTTATATCGGTTATTTAATTAATATAATAATTTATTTAAAATAATTGTTTAAATTAATAATATATTAATTAATACTTATGACTCATCCATTTTATTAAAAATGGTTTAAAGGCTGAAATGTGAAGTGTATCATTTACATTTAGACATTTAGCAGACTGACAAATGAGGACAATGGAAGCAATCAAAAATCAACAAAAGAGCAATGATATGCAAGTGCTATAACAAGTCTAAGTTAGCTTAATGCAGTACACGTAGCAATGTATTTTTAAAAATAATATAATAAATAAAAAGAAAACTGATAGAATAGAAAAAGAATAGAGCAAGCTAGTGTTAGAGGCCTTTTTTATTTTGTTAATCAAAAGTCATCTCTTGCTGCCGCATTCTGGGTTAGTTGCAGAGGGTTGATAGAACTGTCTGGAAGACCTGCCAAGAGGATGTTGCAATATAGGACAGAACTAGAGCTTGAACTATCAGTTCTGTCTTGGCAAGGTTGAGTTGAAGGTGATGGTCCTTCATCCAGCAAGAAATGTCTGTTAGACAAGCTGAGATGTGAGCATTTTATAAAACTTTTTGTTTTTGTGAAAACTTGTCTAAACTGTAAATCATGCTTTTTACAGTCATTTTACAGTTTAATATGTTACTATAGACATTGCCCTAACCCGCTCATATGGTATTAATTTTATTTGTGCAGGTCTTAAAGAGTCTTAAATTTGAGCTTAAAAATCCTGCAGAAACCCTGCATACATAGAGCTTTGTCAAAGAGGTGTCTTAAAGTGTCTATTTTAATGTTCTACCGTTTCTTCTCAGTAGTCCAAGTGACAGCAGACATCCACAAGTCTTTGGACAGCTTTGCGTCCTCTCTGGCTAAGGCTATAGAGAACGATGCCAAGCTTCAACTCTTTGGGGAATGGACTCAAATTCCAACAAGTCTGTTCACAGTACGAAACACACAGAGAGCTCCCCGTTACCTGGATGGACAGAGACTCAGGATGGAAAGCATCGATGAAGGAATAGTTAAAGATGATGACGATGATGAAGAGCGTAAGGAAAAAATAGGTGAAACTTCCATGTAGTTCTTTGACTTTAAATGGAACAGATTGTGTAATCTGCAGCTTTTAAAGGTACAGAACATTAAAGGAACGCATAAGGTAAATGTTTACAGATATACAGTGATTCATGTGTAATTTACATACTAGGTAAAGAACATAAATTTTATTATTTTAGCTAGCAACTGCTGCTACTTGCCTTGGAGAGACCAAAGACCTACAATGATGGCTGTACCTGCAAGGCATCAGGTACTAGAAGCCCTACTGTCACTCATCAGAAGAAGTTATGTTTTTGTAACATAAAAGTTATTGTAAAGTCATGTACAGCCCTCGTATATTTGTCAGGTATTTCGCCTGTGTTGGGTACTGTGTGTCTTATGTTTACTCTTTTCTTATATGGAAACTGTTAACCACTCCATTTTATACATACTGACAGTTTGTAAGAATGATTATCCTAGAGCTCTCCTCTCCACCGTTTTAAGTTCAGGTCTATTAATATATTAAATTATTTTAAGTGCCACAAGTTTCAAAGAAAATATACCAAATGTCTAGGGGGTTATATTGACGTGGACAAAAGAAATAACCTTTCAGGCCCTTACGCATTATAAAATATTTCTTCAGGCATTGAATTAACATCAGAGAATCATGTAAAGAGAGAGAGAGATACTGGGCATAATAAAAGGTAGAATACCCTTATACCCTGTTTTATCCATAGTTTTTGGTGGAAAATCTGATTAAAATGTTTTGACTGAATTTAATGGTGCGAGAAAGCATCTGCAGTGCCAATACTGAAGTCATTGGTACAATTGCACTTGAAGATTTTGTTACATTTGATCAGTGACTTCTCACATCTGTGTTTTTGTTTTTACTATTTTGGTTAGTGTACTCGGTAAGGATTAATCATTCCTGTGGAATCTTCTTTTTTTGCATTATGCCAGTCAGTTATATACCAATATTAATAGGCTTCTTTGTCAATGGCTGCATTATTTGTTTGCAAACCACAGCGCATAATGCTTTTTTATTTTTATTTGTACTGTTAATAATTTTTTTATGGGTACTCAAGCTTTCAGTCATGTTTTGTTTGAATCACAACACATTTAATGTTTAAACTGTCCTCTGGTACATGGTTTGAAAAGGAACCGGAACTCAATCTGAAAATCTGTGGACAAACATTTAAAAAGATGGCTTGCATTCCTTAACAGTGCTGAATGAGTTTAGCATAGAATGGCATGCTAATAGACGAGGAGATATTTCATCTTAGCTTTTCCCAGCGATCACTAGTCACTTAGCAGAATGCTCAAGTCAACAGCTGCCACAACAAAGGCCATCTGTGCTGTTAGGAGAGAGAAACATGACCTGCCAACTAACGCTAGAACCATTTGGCTAGACAGCAGTGGGTTTTATGTATAGACGGAGTCAAAAACAGTTCTCATTTTAATAAACTTTTATAAACATTCTGCAGTGTAACAATGTGTATTGGCTGTTTTGGATAATGAAATATTGCAAGTAGTACCTGTAAATTGGGGTTAGGCAGAAGATCCCTGTGCAACGCAAGATTTAGTAATGACAAAAAAAAAAGCCATTTTTATACACAACATTGGTAAAGACTTAGAGAAGGGTATGTTTTTAGCAAACTCAAGCTTGACATGCATAATTCCTGGTATACAAACATCTGAGTTTTTCATTTGAGGCTACAATAAGATTTCACACTTAACACCGCTCAAAGCTCAACTGTTTGATTTAACAAATTAATATTGCACTTAAATACTCTCAAACACCAGCTGTCCAGTCACATCTTTCGATTTCTTACATATCTTGTTTGCATGAACTCCCCAGACGCAGTTTACTCTCATATAGAGTAATTAGTAAGAAAAGTCTCATTAAAAAATAATAATGCCAAAAACTGAACTAATAAGGAAATACTCTATTTTGTAACTTGTACAAATCTCAAATGCTCAAGTGCACTGTAGCAAAAAAACATTCACTTGTAGCAGGAGGGCTACTGTTCATCCTCGTTCTCTTGTCCAGAGCCTTCTGAACGATCACCCTCCACACGGTCTGAGATTAACAGAAGGAAAGAGGAAGAAAGATCGGTCATTTAGACACCTGTTCAAGGTGGTAAAACCAAAAGCTGGAGTAAGTATCCACTAATAAACACTGGCCAGCTAAAAAAAAAGCAGTGTAAATATCATTGATAAATGAGATTTTATTCTTCTTAAATTATCTTTAAAGATAATTAGAACCAAATTTCTTAGGTGTCTTTTACTTTAATGACAACAGCATTTAAAGGCACAATATGTAATTTTCGCAGCTAGAGGGCGCATATTCAAAATAAACAAAGAAGCAAAGGCGTAGTTTGATGAAGCTGTGACTGAATGTGGAATCATGGGAGTTGTGGTCTTCATCCCCACAGCCGATGCAATCCGATGGGACTCGGGCAGAAATCATGTTCATGGATGAGCTAATGATTTGTTAACGTAGTAGAATGAAGCAGGATGAGGCTGAAAGCCGTCGAAGTGAAACGAGGCCGCTGAACGAGTGTGACACACGGCTTGAAAGCAGCGGAGCTTTTATTATGCCACAGTCGACCGTTTCCGCTCCTTCCGGTCGTGCGTATGTGGGGAAAAAAGCAGCGCTGTTTTATCATACTAGATACATTTGAAAGTTCTGTTATAATGCTACTCTGTGCAGTCGTCTCCGGTCTATTAAAACGTACAACATATTAAAGCGTCTTTGGTGTTTCCATGTTTTCTACAAAACAACCGGAAATCGAGGGGTTATGACGTCATTGGCAGGCGACACAATGACACTATGGACACGGTCCGTGCCACTAGTTAAAATTGCTTATTTCTCTGGATTTAAAAATTCTTCGAAACATTTGGGATAATGTAAGTACACAAGTCAGCAAAATATATAACACTGTTCTAGTAGTTTTTGGATATTTTAATAAGAAAATCTTACATATTGTGCCTTTAAGCTGCATGAACTCTTGCCTTCTTTAAAAAAAAAAATCATACCGACCCCAAAAAGACCCCAGAAATGTTTTTATTTTTATTTAATTATTTTTTCCAGCTTTAAGTGAAAAAAGCCAAGTTTTCAATGTGGACTCGAGACTTTTGGATCTAATTGTATGTGTACAGTCAGTGAGTTAAAAAAAGACCACAAAAAAGTTCACCTGTTCTGATGTGATTTAATGATGCCAGCATTCTGAGCATGAAGGAAGCAGGAACAGTGATGGTGTTCCTCGTCTCTTCCAGCATTAACTCATTACGAGCAATCACCTACAGCACACAAACAAATCAGGATATTAAATCCACAAGTTTGCCAACTATTCACATGTAGATTTCTATAAATGGACACTTACTCCTATAGCTACAGCATAGACATACTGCCTTAAAATGCCTCTATTTCATATATAGAAAAAAACAGTACTTAGAGCTCTAGTGCACTCTACTGGGGATTTTAATTACATCTCGAAACAAACAGCAGGTCTGTGTTAGCACATGCATTTTAAATACATATTTTAAAGTCTAAAGGATCAAAACAGAACTTTATTCACAAATTCAAACAGAAAGCATTGTCCATACCTCTTCGGCAAGGACTCTGTTAAATGACAAGCATTAGACATGTACTTGAAAAAAAAAAAAAAAAAAAAGTCAGACCAAATGATGTGATTATCTAAAACAAAATCTTTATTGGTTCTCCGTCTATTGTTTTTAGGTATGTTTTGCTCACTGGGGTCATAAGGGTGAGGCTGCAGGCAGTTGACCACATGGTTGTCGGCCTCCAGCAGCATCAGGTGCTCTCCCGTGTGTCTGTCCCAGATGAAGATATGGCCACAATCCGAGCCGCTCATCACAAAGTTATTCCCCCAGAAACACGACTCCTTAATCTACATGTACAACCAGGTCAGTAAAAGCTAATGTAATATCTGTGTATGGTTCTTTGCAAAACATGACTAGAACTAGTAAGAAGTAACAGAAAGCTGCTTTTGTGTACAATATACATAAGACAATAAACAGTCAGCCTACCATGGTCCTGGAGTTGCGGTGGCCCTTGTACATCATCTTGACAGAGGGTCTCCTGATATTCTGAGTTTCACTCTCTTCCATCTCTCGCCGTTCTTTTCTCCTGCGGAACAGCTCCTGGATCCGAGCCGCGGCGGAGCGTCTATGAAAAGTGGAGCATGCAGAATAATGCTTATGAAAAATCAACTTTAAAACAGCAGCTCAACACTATATTAGTCAGGGATGGTCAAATTTTCATAAGCTTAAACAGTTTTACAATGTCTTACAGCATTGTGCGAGACACAATATTTGATCTGAATAAATTTTTTGCAGACAATCTAGATGCTTCACCTATCAAGCATTAACCTTTATGTGCGTTAAATTCATATAATTGTTTTTTTGATATTTCATAAATAAAAAACAGCTGAACTGCCTCAGAAAGAGCAATTATTGAAAATATTGAACATAAACATAAAAAAAGAAAAAACAACTATATTCAGTATTGCTTTATAAACCAGATAATTTTTCAAAGTAGAGGAAAACAAATGCACAGGAAAAAAGAAAGGGGGGTTACAGAATCATTAGATTTCTTCCAAATGGTCTAAGAGAAGTTCCCATGTGGCTTCAAATCTTTTTGGTGAGCTAAGCTTACTAAAACGTATATATCCGAAAAAAGCCAGATTGTGGTCAGGTTGAATGGATAATAGTTAAAAGTGATATTTCATGGAAATACAGCGCAACTTATAGAACTGTATTTTGGTAACAGTCTCTTTAAGAGAACAAAAGTTTTATTGAGTGAATCTGATGAATCGCCTTAGTTTGTAGAGAGTCGTGGAAGCACAGTTTTTTGACAGTAACTTGTATTTTTTGGAAATCGTGGAAAATATATACACTACTGTTAAAAAGTTTGGGGTCAGTAAGAATTCAAAAAGTTATACTTTTTATTCAGTAAGGATGCATTAAATTGATCAAAAGAGACAGTAAAGACATCTATAATAACATTTCCATTTCAAATAAATGCTGTTATTTTAAACGGTCTATTTATCAAAGAATGAATAGAATAATATCAAGCAGCACTACTGTTTTCAAAATATTTTTTTTTGGTGAAAATCTGAACTCCAAACAACTATACCTAAAGTAACTTGTACATTCGTGCATGAAATTAATTTGCTTGGTTAGTAACTAACCAAAGGGTCATTACGCAAACATTACGCAAACATTTTGTGCACTCTCAGGCAGTGAAGTTAACAGCAACTACTTAATTACATATATTATATAGTTAATAACATATTTTACACAGCCACACAATATGAATACCAGGTTAATTAAAATTAAATCAAATCTGCACACCTTGCAATTAGATTATATAAGTGGCCATCTCAGAAACATTACAGTACCTTATCATCCTATCACCTACAGCTGATCCTCTGTAATTAAATCTAATGAGAAGAGTAGCATTTTACTTATGACTGTCCAAAGGATAAACACTGTTTAACAAACATGCTCATGTTTTATGGGACTTCCCGTCTGTTATAATATTTGCCTACACATTGTGATGATTTGCATGATTAAACATCTCGACATGACGAGAGTCCATACCTCTGTCCCGGCCCTCCTCTGTACCTGGCTGAAGGGATAAGGATGGGGTCGTCGTCGCTGTCATCAGAGTCCTGATTGCGGGATGGTTGAGTCGAACCCTGACCACCCGTTCCTGCGGTCTCGCTCCTCCTGCACCGCTCACTCAGCTCCCCCGAACCAGCAGCCTGGAGCTCCTCTGAAGGAGCGCTGGGACGAGCCGTGTCTTCAGTAGACAGGCCCTCTGGTGGTGCCGCCAGTGGTGTGCTGTTTTGAGAGCTGATGGAGGTCTTTTCTGTGCCACTGTCTGCAGTTTGGCCCCCATCGGGTGTGGGTTGACTCTCTGAGGGTGAGCTTGAACCTGGTTATGAGAGAGAAAAGTTAAGATAACCTCCAAAATAGGCCACACAACCTACACAACTTCTGTAGCAATGGGCAAGTGGTTGTCGACTCACTTTGCTCTGAGGTTTGTCCTGTGGGCTCCTCTCTGGTCTGGCTCTCACTCACCTCCCCAGGCTTATGTCCTCCACTGCTGCCTTTTGCACCGGACGTTGGACTGCTCCTGTGCACAGTCGAAAAATAAAGTTTGTGATTTGTTCTTACAAAAAAATGCCATTCTTGAAAATAATATACTCACAATTAAATAAGTTTTTTATTTTTTTCAACTAGTATTTATTTTTATTTTATTTCAGCTTTATATCAATTAATGCAAATGAATTTAAATAGTTTTAGTTTTAGTTAAAATTAACAATATTTCTATTTAGGTTTATTTTTCAGTTTTTGCTATTTTAATACTTACACTTAAACTGATTTTACTTCATTTAATTGCCAAGGCAACAAGTTTTTTTTAAGTTGAACTAATTTCAACTAATATTTGTTTTATTTCAACTTTAATTTAACGAAAATGGTTTTTCAAAATTGTAATTTTAGCTAACAATAACAACATGCTTTAATTCTCAATGAAAGCATGAAAAAATGTACACTTCAAATGCAGGACCTTACGTACACAACACTTCATTTTGAGTTGAACACGACTGAAAGTAATGCCTTGTGGTTCAGTAACAAGTCATTTCAGGTTTTATCAGTTTATTTCAAAATAATATCTTGGGAATTTGTGAGCCTTTATGAGTGATTCATTAAAAGAACCAGTTCTTCAGAGTCATTTGCTTGTGAATTGGATCACACTAGTTGTACTGTATGCTTGTTGTTTGAACAACGCAACAGAAAGGCATTTCATTGCATTATTTTGTGGTACACTTTTTTTTTTTTTTTTTTATAAACTAGGCATTTTATAGCAATGCTCTTTAGAGCCTTGAGGGGGTGATTTGCATGCTGAGGTCAAGGCTGATTCTCTGGTCACTCACCATTCATCCGTGAAATCCAGTTTGATGGTGCTAGTGGTGGTGCCTTCAGTGCTGTAGTGCAGACTAAGGACCGGTTCTGCCGTGCCAGTCCGCCCAAGCCCTGGAGGAGAGCTGCCGCTCCTGCTGCTGTTGCCAGGGCTGGTGCCAAGTGAAGGCGCTGATGTGGATAGCACAGTTTCTGTAGTGTCTGGGGAAGCTTCACTGACACCTGTATTTTGATCACTGATTACATGTCCTGCTGCTTCTGCACCTCCTGGAAGGAAGACAGAGGAAACATGTGGGATGTAAAACTAAGTACTTTTAGAAAGAGTGCTTACCTTAGGAACATTACATTTGTCACAACTACAGTTAATCACAGAAGCAGCTTTTCTGAAATATTAGCATGTGATTATCGTGCCAAGTAGTGACCTCTAGTTCATTCTAAGCTTCAGATGCTCAGATTTCACTGAGAAATATTAGCATGTTTATTACTAGCATATTGGCACATATTAATGTGCCTTTTTTACATTACCATATTTTAGATCCCTTAAACCTACCCCATACCTAAACTTAACGATTACCTTACCAACTATTAATAAGCATCAATTTAGGAGTTTATTCAGGAAAAAGTTGTAGTTAACAGTTAGTTAATAATGAGAACTGGTCCCCAAACTAAACTGTGACCAAAAAGAAACAAAAAAAAGGTGAAAAAGGGTATGTGGCAAAGTGGGTTGCAGAGATAGACTTCAGTCTACAAAGAATTATATTAGAGTTTGTTAAAGTTCAACAATTGCAAGCAGTTAACTCAAAGCAAGGATTTAGCACAATGCAAGTTAAAGAGATTAAAGGGCTTAAAGGTTTCTTGTTCTGACAGGGAAAATGTGCAGACACCAGTATGGACATGGAGTAAAGAGGACTGCCGTAAAGAATCAATATCACCAAAATCAGTGTTTCCTTGGTTCATATTCCAAAGCAGAATAGCAAAGTCATTTTAAAGGAGTCATACCATACTTTTACTGTTTTTAAATCTTGTTTTTTTTTTATCCTAGTCAAAGACCATAAACAAGTGTTAATGTTATAGAACTTCATTTTAATTTATAACTAAAAAAACAAGAAAAAAGCAACAACTGAAAGTCTGTATTTCAAATCAGCGAATTAAAATGATTTCTAAGGGATCGTGTGACACTGAAGATTGCTGGCTGCTGAAAATTCAGCTTTGCCATCACAGGAATAAATGACATTTTATGACACCTTTAAGCTAAATTCTGATGTTACAAGCCCACATCAGTCTTGTGGAGGCTGAACTCATTATGTAGAGAGTGATAAGAAAAAAAAACGTGTCCCTGTGTACAGGACATTATTTGAAAGATGAGCTTTATATGAACTTGGCCCCACAGAAGGGGAGAAAAAGTATGTCCACTGACTGAAAATGATTCACAGAAAGCCTCTGTATCTTTCTTAAGTTTCTCTGTTTAAGGAGAGGCACATCTGCAGTCTTCTTAAGATGATTGAGGACAAGAGCCACTTCAATCAGAAATGCATAGAGCTCAGATGCAAGGGTGTGAAAGAAAATGAGGAAAAGGAGAGGAAAAAAGAGGGAAAGACGCACCCTGCTCCTCATCCAGAGTCATGGATCCAAGCTGTTTGTTTACCACAGATGAGGGAGAATCTGAAACAAAAATAAGAAGTACTGAACAACTGAAACAAAAGAGCCAGTACAAACATTTAAGTGCAGACCTAAATCCTCAGGAAACACACTGCAGCACAGGCAGGGTAAAGAAAAGAAAAAACCATCCCACAAAACTCAAAAGCCACAAACTTTGTAAAGATGAGTCTAGGAGGCTTAATTCTGGGTTAAAGACACAAAGCCAAGGGTTTCAGATTGGGTAGGCTGTTCCTTAAAAAATGTGAAATGACATCCAGGAGGTGAGCAAATACAAGAGCACAATTTATAAAGAACAAACTGATGCATAGCCTTCTTTAATGCAGTATTCACTTTCAGGCAGAATAAACAAGTCACACAGAAATTTGTAGTTCAGGAGTTGAGACTGATGGTGGCAGAAAAGTTTATTCAGATGCCAGACCTACGTTTACATTGACGGTGCTTTGCAGCGACAAAGCAACCAGAAGTCATTCATTTTTGGCGACGGTTTGCAAATACCCAGCAAGATGTGATGTCAGGATGTTGCTGAACTAATAGTGCAATGCTTTAAGCACAAAAAATACATTGCACACAGTAGGGTTACCGAATAAAATTAACTTTTCCTGAATTGCCTGGCTTCATAGACAACAAATATGTTCAGTTTGCCTCTAACCATTTCTACAATAACTAAACGCATCACACTCGCTGATAGCATTAAGAAGTATTTTGTGGAATATTGCAAAGGGAAGAAGAACAAGAGAAGGTATGAAAAGAACAAGATTAACATGGATCAATGTTCAAGGTTTAAATAGGACAACAACAAAAAAACTGCCAACACCAACCAGTACAAACTAGCATTATATGTAATTATGTGGTTGCATTCCAGGTCAAACAATCAACAGATGGCAGTATATGCATATTGTTTGACATCTGAGCTCTGTTCCAAGATCTACTGTAGTAAGCTGCCTCACTAACTACTGACTACACAGGCAGCTACCTTCTAAGGCCCTGTCCTAAATCAAGGTGCATTTGATGTGGACGCATGTCCGTGAAGTCAATTTGTCCCAATTGTCAATTCAGAAGGGTTCAAAAGTAAGATTTATTTTCTTGAAAAAAATTAATACCTTTATTCAACAAGGACAGATTAAATTGATAAAAAGTGACAGTAAAGATTTTTGCATTGTTACCAAAAAATTATATTTTAAATAAATGCTGTTCTTATGAAATGTCTATTCATCAAAGAATCCTGAAAGAAAAAAAGTGGGAAAGCAAAACTGGGAAAGACATGGCCATTGTGACTCTGAACATTTGTGATAGTAAGATTTTGGGCAGCTTTTGTGTCAGGTGTTTATCTGATGTCTAAAAATGTCACGTAGTTGGGCAGCTCCCTAAGTTTTGGAACAGAGTTCTGCTGTTGGTGAATGTGAGCGTGAATGACCAGCAGTTAGATGTGTGCGTGTCTGTGTGGAAGAGGGGAAGAGGAACACTCTCCATAGCCAGAGGTGCAGCAGCAAACCAGGACAGCCATGAAACAGGCAGCCAGAGGGGTCAGGATGTTAAAGGAGAGCGGGGATGCAGGCTGGGAGGAGACGGTAACCTGCAGGGGGGCACGCGTCAGCAGCAGCAGCCTGTTGGGCTGAGCTCTCTGGGCTGGAGGTCGCAGGTACAGAAGGGACTGAGCGTCTGCCCTGTCCAGGGGGGTCAGACAAGAGAAGCAGTCTCTGCAAACCTCTACACACTAAACTTACCGGCAGCCTGCGAGGACCATATTCTGACAGTGTGGGTTCAGAGGGAGAGAGAAGAGCAGGATGGGAAAGTTGATGGGATGGGGAAAAAGAAGAGAGGCAAATCATAGGTAAGGAGGAATGCTGGGTAAAAGAGCAAATTAAAGATTGAAGCTGCATGCTGAGTGATGTCAGACAAGACTGCAGGGTTTCATCACCCGTTGCAAAAAAAAAAGAAAAAAAAAAGCGTGCATTACACTCACACGTCTATACATGTTCTATGGTCATGAAGAGAAACGCACACATAAAAATGCCTGCAATGGCACGATGAGCAAAAAGGAGGTATTTATCATTATATAAAAAAAGACAAAAGACACTACATGTTGCATCCTGCTTCTGTTTGTGTGATTTTTGATGCAGGCCCTAACGGCACACAATGCTCAAAAAATAAACCCCACCTGAGGACAACAAATCAGTCAACACATAGGTCTTAAAAAAAGAAAGTGCATTGAGTTGGATGATAGAAAGATGTATAGCAGACATGGTAAATGGACCTATTGTATAAATGGAACGAGATGAATTTGTTCATTATAAGCACATCATCTTTATGAAGCAGAGATACAGTGACTGCATTTACATGCACAAGAAAATTTTTATTACTATTGGAATATGATCATATGGTCTGAATTAAGCCAATACTTTGGTACTTTTATACTTTTAAGACATTTGCACAACTATGGATCACATTTTATTTGGGATATCAACTGTAACAGAATGTTAAATTATATCAGCGTATGTCAAAAGCAATTCAGGGTGCTATAGTTTAAAACTGGGTTTGGTATAGGTTTTTAATTTTTCCGAAAGAAATCTAACAATGGCTGCATTTATTTGATCAAAACTTCAGTAAAAACAATAATATTGTAAAATATGACTTAAAATGAAATAACTGTTTTATATTTAAATATATTTTCAAATGTAATTTATTCCTGTGTTGGCAAAACTGAATTTTCAGCAGCCATTACTCCAGTCTTCAGTGTCACATGATCCTTCAGAAATCATTTTAATATGCTGATTTGGTGATCAGGAATCATTTCTTATTATTACCGTCTTATTATTGTTGAAAAGAGTTTGCTGAGATATTGCTGTTTAATATTCTTGTGGAAACAGATACATTTTTTTCAAGATTATTTGATGAACAGAACATTCAAAACAACAGCATTTATTTGAAATAGAAGCCTTTGTAATATTATAAATGTTTTCACTGTCACTCTTAATCAACTGATTGTATCCTTGCTGAATAAAAGTATTAATTTCTTTTAAACAAAATCTTACTGACCTCAAACTTTTGAACAGTAGTGTACAAGAGGACAAAAACACTTTTTAATAGCTGTGTAATATCTATTTTTAAAATAAACGCTTAAATAAAATATATGGACTTTAAATGGAATATTATGTGCATGTAAACATGTTATTGCCTCATTTAAGGATGAATGCACTCTTCAGTGTTTTGCCAATTGTGACAGACTTACCAGATAAAGCTGCCTCTCTAGATGGGGTGGGTGTGGCTGAAGGAGTGGGCGTGGCCGAGGGAGTGAGCGTAACTTCATCCTGGCTCCTCTGCTCTGTGTCTGGGGAGGAGAGGAGAGAGGAGGAGGCAGCACTTTCCATGGAGGATGAGCTGGAGGGGGCAGGGGCTGTCACAGTGGAGGAGGAGCCTGAGGAGGAACAGGAGATAGACTTGGGGAGAGGCTCTGCAGGTGCAGGAGGAGCAGCAGGTGTAGGCGGAGGATCAGAGGAGGGTGTCTCCACCTCCATCGCTCCTTCAGCTGAGACCTCAGTGGGCTCCTGTGCCTGAGTGTGTGTTTCTGAGGTCGCAAATGTCCCTTCTGGTCGAGCTGACGTACCTGGAGTCAAATCATCAAACCTTGAGCGTACTTTTAAGAGTAAGTTTTGATTTTGTGTAGTTTTTTTCTTTAAGTAGAGAACATTTAATAAGAAAATTTACACCCTTTCATGTGACACATGCGTGTCATACACATCGCGTATCTTGTCAGTGTCTGCGCTTGCTTGGCCATTTGTTGTGGAAAAAATAAGGAAAGTGTGTTCAAGCGCCAGCAGAAAACAGTGTAAAGAAATACTCTTTGAGAGAAGCGGTCTTTATCAGCGGAAGTTAAAAGCAGCTCATAAGTGTATTTACTTGTCTCATTAGTGTTTAGTGCAGTTGTCGTTGCTATGGAAAAAAATAAGGAAAGTGTGTCCAGCTGAATTAATTTAGTATTTTGTTAGACGGGTATAAAAAAGCTTAGGTTACCGCGGCAGCCGTCGCGTGACGGCCTCCTCGTGGGAAGACCGAAGAGTGTAAAGACCATCGACTTTGGATAAAAGCGTCTGCTAAATGACTAAATAAATAAATAAATAACATGCTTTGATGCATTGTTCAATGGCTGATGTTTATTGGCGAATAGGATCAAAGTTGAAAATGCCTCCATAGAATTCAATACATTGTGAAATCCCAATGTAAGTCACATGGAAGATTTTTAAGGCCCTGATATACTTCAAGCTAAACAGAAGAATGATCTGGTGTGACGTCATTTCAAAACAAAATCAGGTCCAAACTAAGTTGGTTTGGAATTCAAAACAGCTTGCCAAAGCAAACTTTCCGGAAAAGTTCGTTAACACATTCAAACTACCATTGGTCCATGAAGATTATTATATTATAACATAATAGGTAGGTGCTCTGAGGCTCTGCCTTCTTTGACAGACTGAACAGAAGAAATCAACCAGAGAATATTTCCACGTCAAAGTCAGACGCAAGTCAAAACAGGAATACAATGGAGAGCTGCTTTATTGTAGAACGAGAAGTTGTAATTCTAAAACCTGTGCTGTTTTACCTCTGGGTCGAGTTTGAGGACGTGGTCTGCTGCTCTGGGCCTCACTAGCCTCCTCGAACCAGCGTGACAACATGTCCGACATCCTCTGCATGAGCGATACATTTGGACTCTGCTCTCCTGCAAAGACAACAAATTTCTTAATAATCAGGGTTGGGGAGTAACGGAATACATGTAACGGCGTTACGTAATCAGGATACAAAAATCTAGTAACTGTAATCTGTTACATTTACATCAAAAACAATGTATTCAGATTACAGTTACATTTTGTAAAAAGTGGGAATACTATCAGGATTACATTTGTTTCATTTAAAATTAAATACATGAGTATTTTGACATAACGCTATATATTTAGCGCTGCTTCATCATAGTTCCTGGTTCTGTTGACACATGTTTACTCACGTGAGCTGCCTGCTGGTGCGTGCTCAAATAACACCCGTCTACAATTATTCTCCTCAAACGCGGGATGAGATGCTGCTACAGTTTATTAATTACGATGCTTCCTGCTGTGAAAAACGTTTTCATGTCGCTTTGGATAAAAGCGTCTGCTACATGACTAAATAAATAAATAAATAACATGCTTTGATGCATTGTTCAATGGCTGATGTTTATTGGCGAATAGGATCAAAGTTGAAAATGCCTCCATAGAATTCAATACATTGTGAAATCCCAATGTAAGTCACATGGAAGATTTTTAAGGCCCTGATATACTTCAAGCTAAACAGAAGAATGATCTGGTGTGACGTCATTTCAAAACAAAATCAGGTCCAAACTAAGTTGGTTTGGAATTCAAAACAGCTTGCCAAAGCAAACTTTCCGGAAAAGTTCGTTAACACATTCAAACTACCATTGGTCCATGAAGATTATTATATTATAACATAATAGGTAGGTGCTCTGAGGCTCTGCCTTCTTTGACAGACTGAACAGAAGAAATCAACCAGAGAATATTTCCACGTCAAAGTCAGACGCAAGTCAAAACAGGAATACAATGGAGAGCTGCTTTATTGTAGAACGAGAAGTTGTAATTCTAAAACCTGTGCTGTTTTACCTCTGGGTCGAGTTTGAGGACGTGGTCTGCTGCTCTGGGCCTCACTAGCCTCCTCGAACCAGCGTGACAACATGTCCGACATCCTCTGCATGAGCGATACATTTGGACTCTGCTCTCCTGCAAAGACAACAAATTTCTTAATAATCAGGGTTGGGGAGTAACGGAATACATGTAACGGCGTTACGTAATCAGGATACAAAAATCTAGTAACTGTAATCTGTTACATTTACATCAAAAACAATGTATTCAGATTACAGTTACATTTTGTAAAAAGTGGGAATACTATCAGGATTACATTTGTTTCATTTAAAATTAAATACATGAGTATTTTGACATAACGCTATATATTTAGCGCTGCTTCATCATAGTTCCTGGTTCTGTTGACACATGTTTACTCACGTGAGCTGCCTGCTGGTGCGTGCTCAAATAACACCCGTCTACAATTATTCTCCTCAAACGCGGGATGAGATGCTGCTACAGTTTATTAATTACGATGCTTCCTGCTGTGAAAAACGTTTTCATGTCTGGAAATTTCACAGTTATCTTGTTTTCAAAGAGGATAAAGGAAATAACATAGTTGTACAGCGTAAGCTATGCATGAAGACTCTTGCTTTAACAATGGGTACTCAACCAACTTGAACATTTGCAGGTACGAGTCCAACTAGCATGGAAATCATCATGTTAGCTAAAATTTAGTGTTTGTTAGTGACTTAAAATTCCATGGTGTGCATGACTGCACACCATGGAATTTTTTTCTAGTGGAAAATGAGCCTGAAAATGTAGAAATTAGCATGAGTCTCCACACAGTCAATGAAATAAAGAAAGATAGCATTTCGACATGTAGGCTTATTTTAAAATAGACTAATATGTATATGGTGTAAATTTTGTGTTTTGTAATGTTGTGTACTATATTTATTTTTACTTGTACATGTTACAGAAATAAAAAAAATAATAATACAAATAAAACTGCAATACTAAACTGTATAGCCACTACACTAGATGTCTGCATAGCCTTTTATATAAATATACAGGCTGTAATATCTAGATAGTGAAACAAGACACGATTTTTAATAGTTTCAAATACTACTAGTTTTTACTGTAGTTTTTATTAGTTTTAATTTTAAAGTCATAGTTAAATAAAAGTACTTAGATATTTTAGAAAAAGCAAGTACTTAGTACTTGTAACGAAGTAATCCAAAAGTAATCAGATTACATTGCTTTTATATTGTGGTACTTGGATTACATTACTGAATACTTTTTTAATGAAGTAATTTGTAACTGTAACGGAATACATTTTAAAAGTAACCCTCCCAACCCTGTTAATAATCAATATCAAACTAGACCAGAACCTCAAATCTTTCCATTCACAGAAAGCAGAAGCACTGGAAGCCTGCTGTTTATACTGAATACTTTTTTAATTAAGTAATTTGTAACTGTAACGGAATACATTTTAAAAGTAACCCTCCCAACCCTGTTAATAATCAATATCAAACTAGACCAGAACCTCAAATCTTTCCATTCACAGAAAGCAGAAGCACTGGAAGCCTGCTGTTTACATCAAGAGCAAGCTGCAATATGCCAAGAAGTAGCCAAGTGAAGCAGTTTTTGGACTAATTCCCTGTGAAAAGCTAACAAGCTCCCCTTAGACAGACTAAGTTGTTGATATACATAGTTGGAGATACTGAGGGAGATTAAAGATGTATTGAGAGACACTAGAGACTGTGGGGTTATAAACATGGAGGAGAATGCCAGAGCGGACAACAGTTCTGTTCACAGAGGAGACAGTGAAGATGAAGTGGATGTGCAAATGAGATGTGGTAAACAACTATGGTAGACAATGCCTTGATGCTTTAACATTTTAACAGTTTAAAGTTAAGTCTTACAGACATTATTGATGGGGTGTGCCTAGGAAGTGCTGATAAATAAAATAAAATAAAAATATTTTGGATTAACTATGAAATGCTGCTTATATAAAAATATGCTGCTTTATACAATATTTGTCAGTCCAAAATGCCATAAATAAAATAAAACAAATAGAAATAAAAAAATATAAATAAGTAAATAAATAAATAAATATATTTTCATATATTTAAAAAGGCTGGAAAAGCGATGACACTTTGAAATAAACTATTATAATGACATTTTTTAAATATACTATGTTTTTGGTTATTACAGTGGTATAATTGATAGCGTTTTACTACAAAGTACCACATAAAGCCAAAAGCATGGAGCTTATAGGTATTAAACAGTGCAGGACAGATTACACTTCTCAGGTTTTATAGACTTTATTAATAATAATAATTAATAATTTAATAATAATAATTTATGCATTTAGCAGACGCTTTTATCCAAAGCGACTTACAGTGCATTAAGGCTATACATTTTTTACCAGTATGTATGTTCCCTGGGAATTGAACCCACAACCTTTTGCGCTGCTAACGCAATGCTCTACCACTGAGCCACAGGAACACGATTATTAGTGACGGAGTGTGGCTTTACAACATCTGTTAGCCCAAATTGCCATAAAATAAATAATAAAATAAAATAAAACTTACAAAAAGTTATAAAATAGATTATTTTGGTAAAACCAAAGTTGTATTCAATTATAATGATATATTTTTTTTTTAATTTTCATTACAGTGGTGAAATTTACAGCATCATGTTATTACAAAGCACCCAAAAATGCCTTGAGCATGGAGTTCATAAGTATTAAACACGGTGCAGGATGAGGTACATGAAGGAATTTAATACTGTTCTCAAATCCCCAACCCTTTGTGGGCAAAAGTAATGTTTGCCTCAACATCTGGAAAATGTTACATCAATTTAATCAGTGATTTGTGATTTCTGACAAATACAGTCGGTATAGAAAAGAATCACCACCTTTAAAATAATCACATTTTGTTGCTCTGCAGCCTGAAATGAAGACGGACACAGTTTTTGTTTTATCCAGCTGTATTTACTCAGTGCATCTTATAACATCCAAGTGAAAGATAAAAACAACAACATGTCATAAAAAAATAAATAAATAAAAAAACAGAATCACCGAGTTAGAAAAAGGACCACCCCCTTGTGCCAGTATTTTATTGAACCACCTTTTGCTTTAATTACAGTCTTTAGTCTGTTGGGATGCGTCTCTGTCTCTACTAACTTTGCACATCTAGGCTTTGCAATATTGGCTGACTCTTCTTTGCAGAACTGCTCAAGTTCAGTTAAATTTGATTGGGACCATTTGTGGACTGCAGTCTTCAAGTCATTCCACAGATTTTCATGGGGTTTAAATCTGGGCTCTGACTAAGCCATGCAAGGACATTCACCTTTTTCTCCTTCAACCACTGTGTGCTCAGTTTTGCTGTGGGTTTGGGTCATTTTCATGTTGGAAGGTAAACCTTCTTCCCATTGACAACTTTCTGGCAGACGGCAGCAGATTTTCCTCAATAATTTGACAGTATTTTGCTCCATCCATTTTTCCTTCTATCCTGACAAGTGCTCCAGTCGCTGCTGCAGAGAAACACCCCCATTACAGGATATTATCACCTCCATGCTAAACTGTAGGAATGCTGTTATTTGGATGGTGAGCTGTATTGGATTTCCGCCAGACATATCAGAATCAGAATGAGCTTTATTGCCAGGTATGTTTACACATACGAGGAATTTGTTTTCGTGACAGA